AACACGTATTATATAAAAAATTATTCAAACACGTTTTTATAAAAAAAATGTAAACAAACACGTTTTTATAAAAATATATATATATATATATATATATAAAATAGGTGTTTGTATACATTTTTTTTTGTAAAATACGTTTTTGTATACATTTTTTTTATAAAAACGGATTTGCATATATTTATATACTTAATAAATACCTATTTTTATAACTAGATATTTCATATACAAAAAACTTTTTAAAAAAAAGTTTTTATATAGAAAATACAAGATTTTTATGTGAAAATACGTTTTTTTGTATAAATATGATTTTGTAAAGAAAAAACATATTAGAAACAATTCTTTGAGAAAAAAAGTTGTAAAAAAACTAAAGTTAGAATGAATTCATAATAAAATTCTAAAATTTGGGCAAAAAGGATAAAGTTTGTACCAAATTTGTAAAAAAATTTAAAATCTGGGCGAAAAGTGTAAATTTTGGACCTAATTTGTAATAAATTTTGAAACCTGGGCCAAAAATGTAATTTTTGAAAGTTGGATGACCTGTTGACCGGGTCAAATGGATAAATTGAATACGATTACCGATATTTAGGACTTAATTGAATAAAAAAATATATAGGGACTAAATCGATTATGAGGCCAATATGTATGGATTTTATTGCAGTTTTCCCTGTTTTATATTGCTTTTCTTTATATTGCAATAGCCTAGTCACTACACATTATCATATTAAAGTTTAAGTTTTGTTCATTATTTCTAATTATATAAATATGATATTCGATGTTATGTGGCTTTGCTTTGACTTTTATTTACATTTTACATTTGCTTTTGATTCTTATTTATTTTTTCTATTTTTGGCTTAATATAAGTTTTATGATTTTTTGTTTCATTAAGAATTTAGTTAAATTTTCAAATTTTGAATTATTAATTATACAAGTTTTGAGTTTTATTTTTTAAGAGTATATATAATTATATTATAAACGTAAACCCTTTTATTCTAAAAATCTTGCTCCACCCTTGATATTAGTGATGAAAAAAAAATTTATTTATATTATTTTTTCTTTTGTTAAGGTGTAAATTTAATATTTTAATATCTTATTTTTGTTTGTTTTTTTGTTAATCATGTATTTAACTTCTAAGTGCAATTAAGTTTTGAATCCATGTTTGTTTTTTAATTTTTTTATAATATTTGCATACAAATGTTATTCAAAGTTTATGTTTTATGGTTATTATTCTATGAATTTGATTTAGAATGTGTGTTATTATGTTAGCTCATTCTTAAATAATATGATTTTTTTTAAGTTGTGAACAGTGGCGAATCTAGAACCAAAATCTACGTGGTTCCTTATATAAATAAAACTGAAAAAAGCATGAAAATATAGGTCTTTTGGCAAAAATAAGGTAGTTCCTTATGTTTTTTTTATATATAATTCTTGTATTAAAAAAGAAAAAAGGTAGGTCCTAGGACCCACCTTATGTATGAGTGGCTACGCCCCTGGTTGTGAATGTATATTTTTTATATATTAAACTGTGATTTATTATATTAAGCTGTGAATTTTGTATTTTAAGCCGTGATATTTGTGTTTTAAACTGAAAATGAATGCATTAAGCTTTGATTTTTTTTGTTCAAACTGTAAATTGACTATATTAAATTGTGTATTTTATATATTAAGCTGTGGATTGATTGTATTAAGTTGTGAATTTTATGTATTAAACTGTGAATTTACTATATTAAGACTTTTAAGGTGATAACATGGCTATGAATGCATGTTTTTTGTGTACTAAACTGTGAATTTATTGTATAAAGTTGTGATTTTTGTGTATTAAGCTGTGATTTTTGTATTTTAAACTGTAAATTGACTGCATTAAGTTGTATTTTTTTTGTTTAAACTATGAATTGTATATATTAAGTTGTGAATTCTATGTATTAAACTGTGAATTGAGTGTATTAAGTTGTGAATTAATTGATATTAAGATGTGATTTTTTATAAATTTTTTGTTTTCTTCTGAAATATAAGATGAAAGAAGCCTTATACACATATATGATTTTATCTAATTTTGAATAAAGTTGTAAAATTTAATTTGTGAATACTTGTGTAAATAAACTTTGTAAGAAACAATGACTTATAGATCTTAAGGTATATATATATATATATATATATATATATATATATATTATATATATATATATATATATCTATATATATATAAGTTTTGATTTAAGAATGTGACTGTGAATGTATAATTATTGTGCATTAAACTTTGAATTTATTATATTAAGTTGTGAATTTTGTATACTGGATTGTAAATTGACTGTATTAAGCTGTGAATTTTTTATAAATTTTGTGTTAAAATATGAATGATTTATGTATAAATGTTTTGTATTAATTTTCTTATGAATATATTCATTTTTTGTATTGTATAAATATGTAAGAACGTATTAGTTTTTATATTTTTTTTGCATTAAACTAGGAATTAGTGAATTCATTGGTTTATTAAACTGTGAATATAATATTTAAGCTGCAAATCTATGATTTATATATAGATATGATTTGGAGGAGGGATGGATATGACGGTGGCACAAGTTGTTAGTGACGGCGTGTGGTAGTTGGTAGTGGTGGTATAGTTTGGGTTTGACTTCTCTCAATATGTGAATTATTGTATAATAAATTGTATTAAGTTGTGAATCTTATATATTAAACTGAGAATGGACTGTATTAAATTGTATATTTTATATAAATTTTATGTTAAAATATGAATGCATGTATGAAAATAATAGATTGTAATTAACAGGTCTATTAAACCGTGAACATCGTATTTTGAACCGTTAATATGTTATATATATATTTTTTAAAGATATCTATAGTTTACAAGAGAGAAAATTGCATTTGTCAAGATATAATTCTATTTTTTAAAATAAATTTTGTATATTTGACAAAAAAAGGTATGTATTCAAAAGTATTACCAGATAAATGGAAGCTATAATGGTCATTCTATTAAACTGTGAATACGACTAAAAAATGTAGTAAGTTTGTTATTAGTCCGGCGGTGAGCCAATGACGGTCCGACAGTGGTCCGACGGTGATTATAAAGATCTCATAGGTTGACAATAACGTGGAACACTTTTGTATGGTTGTGCAAAAAGGTAGAATGGATTTCATTATGTTCTCATGTGCCTTCTTCGACGTCAATTTTTCCAATCATTAACCTTAACTAATACTTTTTGGAAATTCAATAGGACCATAGTGTGGGCTTATTGGTTGGGTTAAGTTGATGATGAAAATATCATCGTTCTTCCTTAGTAAATTTTGGGTTGGTTAAGCCGCATATGGAGCTTGAAACCTAAACCAAAGCTTGAATATATGCTTAATTTTTAGTTCGGTTTTGTTCTTCACAATAATTTTTAACAAGTTGTAAGGATTACGATTATCAATTGGGGTGGTTTTTGGTGATGCTTTATTTCCTTAGTTCAAATGTTCGAGATTGCTTTGGGTAGGTATTGAAATGTTATGTTCTAAATTGATTGTCAGTTGGATTTCATTGGAAATTGTTTGTGAATGAAAATGTTGATTTTATTGTAATGCTCACCATGTACAACATCAACGAAAGTTTTGATGACTCACACATTCATAAAACTTGGTAGTTTGTTGTGTGGGAGACATTAAATATGCATGCAAATTGATTTTCCTATGCTACGTATGTACCTCTATTATCTTATGTTTTCCACCAAATCTACCCAATGCTGAGCGTGCTACTCACAACCAATGTTTTAAAAATCGGTTTTTTAGTTGAATCGGTATGGTGACCGGTTTCCGGTTCAACCGGTTTAACTAATTCGACTGCGGGTTAAATCGGTTTCTATAATTCTTATTTTTTCCCCCTATTTTCCTACATATATACCTATACAAATCATGAATTTGATGTTTGAAAGTTCAAACATTAAAAATACACATAAAAATAAGTTGTAAATCAATCCAAATACATTAAAATAACACATATTCATAAGTTTTAGTATTTTACATCAATCAATATACGTTTAAAAAGAAAATAAAATATAATACCGAAACAAAAATATAGTTTTAGATGAATACAAACACATCAAAAAACTTTATAACATTTACTATGTGTTTTTACTTAGAGAAACTAAATAGATTTGAAAAAAATTCATCAAAGATTATTATGCAAATGGTTCTTTTTTATGTGTTTTTATTCGGTTTAACCGGTTCAACCAGTTTATTTTGACCGGCACAACCGGATTTTTCTAAAAACCGGTCGGTTCAATCCGGTTCAGAATTAGACGTAAAACCGATGGTAGTTGAACCGCTCCCTCCCCTGGTTCCCGGTCTAACCAGTTCGACCGGCGGGTTCAAACCGGTTTTTAAAACATTGCTCACTACCCAAAGCAAACAACCCGTAATCCAAATCGTTAAGCGGTCTTAAAAAAAGATAGTAGAGCAGATTGCCTTCACCAACATACCAAATCCTCAATCATGTCGTCAATATCGTGAAGGGAAAAGGTATAGATTTCCAGTAAATCAACATAATATTGCTTCATATTGATATACTTTCTTACTTTTTCATACTTTGTGAATTCCCCACTGTTGGTGTTGATTGAGGGAAAATATTGGAGAGATCAAGAACTTAAGAAAGACAGTGTAAGCGTACAATATCCACAACCAACATCAAATTTGTATATTGTAGCACATATCCTCCAAGTGACCATTGTAGTTCACCGTGATTTAAGTGTAGATGCTAGGGTTATCTCGTTTGAATGTTAATGCGTGTTTTTTATGGCCGATCGTGGGTAATATAGGAATAATCGTGTATAATCATAAGCGCTTCGGTTTCTCAAATGGCAGTAATAGGCTGTAACTGGAAATGACAAAAATACCCATGCGTGTAAGGCAAACATGAGGACGGCCTAAGTTAAAAAAAATGGTTATGGATTAATTATGCAAATCATCCTGAAAAACAGGGACCGTTCGTGTATTTTACTCTTTTGATTTTTATGGTGAGTAGATTATGAAACTAGAAATTCCGAGGAGAGTTTAGCGATAACCATGGACAAATTTCATGGATTTTTCTTTTTTCGATAGTGGTGGATTAATCATTAAATATTAGTTACGACTTTTGTAATTAATTTGGTAGCATCGTTTTCGATTTTGTTAAATGTCAAGTGGGCGTAGGCCGTTGAGAATTCCGATATTCCTTCTATAAAAAAGACTGCAAAGTATCTCCTTCTCCTCTACAATGCTACCGCCTTGTGCCAGTCAATCCTTCTCCTCCCTCTTTTTACTTTGAACTTGGATCTTCATAACAAGGTTACATAATCTTCTTTTAAATAGAACAATCTATGCAGCTTTTTATATTTATGTATATATTTTTTACTTGGGTGATATAGAATTTGGCTTATTGGAAGCTATCAATTACGTGCTGTGAATTAATAGCCCTCTTAATTTGTTGAAACGTTTATGTGAATTAAGACACTGCTAATTAATGAGTCTTGTGATCATTGCTTTCAGTATAAGATCGATCATGGGAAACCTATTATGTTTGGTTCAAGTAGATCAATCGACTGTTGCCATCAAGGAAACTTTTGGGAAGTTTGATGATGTTCTCCAGCCAGGTTGTCATTGTGTGCCTTGGATTTTTGGAAGGCGGCTTGCTGGACATCTCACCCTAAGGCTTCGCCAGTTGGATGTCAAGTGCGAGACCAAAACAAAGGTACGTTTTTCTCTCCCTTTTAAATCATATATATGTTTTATTATTTTTACATCATAGCTGTATGTTTATATCGTTTTTAAACTAATATATATATTTTTTCTTCAGGACAATGTCTTTGTTAATGTTGTAGCTTCCATACAGTATCGTGCTCTGGCTGATAAGGCAAGTGAAGCATTCTACAAACTCACCAACACAAGTACCCAAATCCAGGCCTATGTTTTTGATGGTAAAACAAAACTATAAATTATTATGTATTAAGTAGTTTAGGTTTTCCCTTTCTTGATGAATAGCATGGACACGCGTTCTCTATTTGTAGTTATAAGAGCTAGTGTTCCAAAGCTTAACCTTGATGATGTTTTTGAGCAAAAGAATGAAATTGCCAAGGCTGTTGATCGTGAACTTGAAAAGGTAACATGATTGAATGATTACACAAGATGTTCATGTACCCCATTGATTGTGACACTTTTGATGTCTTGGATGTTGGTTATAGGCAATGTCTGCATACGGGTTTGAGATTGTTCAAACATTGATTGTCGATATAGAACCAGATGAACGTGTGAAGAAAGCAATGAATGAGATCAATGCAGGTAAAGTTTTCATCATTAATTATGTGTAATCTTTGAGATCAATTAATTAATTGTTTAATTTGCATGCCTATATATAGCTGCACGGATGAGGTTGGCAGCTATTGAGAAAGGTGAGGCAGAGAAGATACTTCAGATAAAGAGGGCTGAAGGAGAGGCTGAGTCAAAGTATTTGTCTGGATTGGGTATTGCACGACAGAGACAAGCAATTGTTGATGGTTTAAGGGACAGTGTGTTGGGGTTTTCAGTTAATGTTCCTGGGACAACAGCTAAAGATGTGATGGATATGGTTTTAGTGACTCAGTATTTTGACACCATGAAGGAAATCGGTGCTGCATCCAAATCATCTGCAGTGTTCATCCCTCATGGACCCGGTGCTGTTCGTGATGTGGCCGCTCAGATACGCGATGGACTTCTTATGGGGAGTGCCACCACCTCATCCTGATCCTGATCAACCTGATCTTGATCCTGATCCTCAACTATGTTAATTTCACATATACTTGGAGTGACATATATGTACAATAACAATATATTTTTATGTTTCCTATGATTGTGTTTGTAACTTTGTATCCATGGATTTTTGTATATTTGTGTGTTTATGTATATTTGCCGCATTAGGTGGTTTGTAGATATCGGTTTCAATTCAATTTCCCATTTAGTTTTGTCTCTTGTTTATTCAAAGCTATGTGTTAAATGGAAAAATGGTAGTTTGTAATATCAATTAATGGTTACCAAATACCTATTTTGAAAATACCCTTGTCCGGTTATAACATATCTTTGGACATTATCTTAATGGTTAATTTGTGTAATGTTATAAGAGTATTCATAATACATAGTTTAATGAAAGAGTTGAATGAGGTAACATATCTAATTGACATTCAATGGATTGAATTTTATCATTATTAAATATTATGTTGAGATTTATTGGATATGAAGCTCAATGACCTTTGAACTCTTCAATTAGGAAAAATAAAACCTTTTAACTATTTAATGTCATAAATTATACTTTATAAATCTATTCCATTCAACTTTACAAAGTTCAATACATATAGTAAAAAATGTGATAGTGTTGTATGAATGGTAGAATAATTTTGTGACAGTCTCATTAACTTTTAATTAGTTTAATGCATTATGGATGTCCTAATGCAAAATCCAAACTCGAAATAAGAGTTAAGAGTGCCATCCATGTTTACCAAAATTTTCATTAGACAAATTTAAACCTAAATTTGAACAATGTGAAATAAGTTGCAAATTTAGAATAATCGGTGAAAAGGCTAGAAATTTTTTAATCTAAAATGTAAAAGACAATACCAAATTATAAATTTTGCATTTCATAAGTAGCTTTAAGCCCATGAAGTATTAGGAGGCTAGCCCACCTGTGGCTAAACGTGAAGTACGGTCGTGAGAGATTTTGAAATGCGCTTTGTTTAAGAAACTAGGTTATGATCGGCGTATAACGCGGGACATATAATAAAATACATATAAATGTAAAACTAATCCTAATAACTAATCAATGTTTTCAAAAAATTATTAATTTACAAAGATAGATGTTTTATTTGTAAAATTATAATGATTAGTTAAAAATAATATATACATTCAAATATCTGATCGACGTTCTGTATGTGTGGATATTTGATATAACATAAGTGTATAATTGTTAATTTAAACTAATCATGCAAAATGTTTCGAAGATACGAACGTTGTTTAAAAATTGTAATCTTAACCATATATATGTGCTAATATTGATTCTTGTAATTGTGATTTACACGGTATAGACAACATCAACACCAATTTTTTTTGTTTTAGTTTTGCTAAGTTTTTTTTTCATTTAATAGTACTTATTATATGTGCTACTATGCCTCTAAAACCTAAAAGAAAATTCTAAGTAAAATAATGACTATAAACAATAATTACTTAAAATTTACATCAAGAGACATTCAAACGATAACCAATTCCAACACTTGAAAAGGCTTCAGCATCATCAGCTAAATTGGCGGGTAGAAACTATAAGAAAATAGTCAAAATGTTGAAAAAAAACTAAAAATTAACATATTTAGCATTCTTTAGAAGATAAGATAGTATATAATGGATAACAATAGTATAGAGTGAGTGCCTTCTGTGCCTTCTTGAACTGTCAACATTGTTCTCCATGTTAGCTATCATCCCATTTCTTTCTTTTCTTTCTTTGAGTCGATCTTTTCTCTTACACACTCTTCTTTGAGCTTTTTTTTGTTCATAGAAGATAACTGAATGATCGTTTATTGTTTATATAATCTCACTGTCATGAAATATGGATGCAAAACATATGTTTCTTCCATCATGCTGATTAAATCTACAAATTTGATTCGTACAGAAAAGAATGAAAGAAGCATCCCAGTTTTCAGATGTTGTTGTTTTCCACGTTTAATAAACATTTGAATGAAAGCACATTATATATTCTTGTTAGGGAGGATGGAGTCATGGTAAAATTAGGAGGTACCATTGGTACCTCCAAGACACCACTCCAGCTTGAGTGGGCTAGGAGGAGTGGGTTGTTTATGTAGTTTCACTAACCCGCATCATCCTCTTTCTCTCTCTCTCTCTCACACACACACACACACTCTCTCTCTCTCTCTCTCTCTCTCTCTCTCTCTCTCTCTCTCTCTCTCTCTCTCTCTCTCTCTCTTCTCTTGTACCATGTGTCTTAAAACTTATACCTTAGTTGTTTTGTATTTTTTTAATTGGGTGGATTGGAAAAGATAAGGTTTCCATGTGTTATGGGTTGTGAAAGATGGAAGATAGAGGAGAGGGAAAAACTGATATGGTAGTGGGTTCATGAATGATGGTTTCCATATTGAATGGTAGAGATAATGTTATTAATTTTAAAAAAAAAGTTCAATATAATAATCAATAATCTAAAAAAACAACCCCCTTTAACTACACTATCAAATATAATCAGAAGCTTCGTTTGTCCATCTAAAGCACTTACAGCTCAAAATTTATTGAAATAATCGATGGCGTTAAAAAATTGAAAAGAGTCTCGGACTCTTACAATTCCAGACAATGAAAATCATAAATTTAGATCAAATAAAATATTATGACATATTGAATAAGCATAATCAAAAGGTGGTAATTATGTTGTAGACACAAAAGGTAATAAACAATAAAATAAACAATTTTATTAAAAGGACGATTACACCCTTGCCTCTTTCATAAGGAACCAAAAGTCAAAAATATTCGTTTGTACTCTTTAATAAAGTGTAATATTTAAAGATTTACCAAATTACCCTTGATCGTAGATAGGGGTGATCATACCTTGTAGCCATCACCTGTAGAACATTAAAAAAAAAAAAATACAAAAACGTTATAAAAAAATAAACTATAGTTATGATATCTCTTCTAGGGTACATATGATTATTGAAATTAATGCCAACAAAAATCTTCAATATTCAAGTGGTTCTGAATACAACTACCCTCCGGTTTTAGGGCTTTTGACTTCACCCCAATCCGAAGTAGAAACGGTCCCTCAAATACTCTAAAAAAGTTGAAAAATTAAAATATACATAAAAAAAGATGAAAAGGGGAAAATGAACTTTCAAATATAACAACAATATTTTAATAGACAATACTACAAACAAGCTAGAAACATGCAAATAGAGATGAAAGAACATCATAATTAGATTAACATCATACACTCATTTAGTCTTATCTTTCTCTTCCCTTATAGGGGTTTATAAAACATTTCTATTTTGTGATGGATTTCCGAATTACTTTTTTTGAGATATGTGAGGTTGCAAAGAATAGAACAACAAAGAAATGGAAATGATAGGTAATCGTAAAAGCCACATAATAGAATGAGTAATTCCATTCCAGAAACATGTTTGTGAGGCATGAAACGGAACATAATGAAAATTTAATACGATTTTTATGTTATATATTGCAATTTGAATTATAAAGATAATCGTTCACATATCTTTGTTTAGTTATTATTATGTAATTAAAAAATGTTTATATTGCAACTTTTATACTAATGTCTTATCTTATTGCTGAGAAAACCTAGATACTCACAATGTTCCTAACCCTATTTTCAAGAGTGTAAGGTATACCCATTTATCCTTGAGAAAGTAAACTCATTAAGAAGATTCAAACCAGTTAAAAGAAAGAATAAGGTTGTGCAAGGTTCTTATTATACTTCTCAGCATGCCTAGACAACGCAAGTGCTTGCATAACATCAAGTTCACAACTAAAATGTATTCCAAAAATACAAAACGAAAATTAGCAATCTGAGTTCTATGTATGTCTCCTTTGAAAAAACAGAATAATATGTAACAGATAAATTAGAAGACAGTTTTTCCAAAAAAAAAAAAAGATTACTAAATAACCAAAAATAATCAATCATAAACATTTTCCAATAAGATTTATCGAGGTAATCTATTTACATGGTATATTAAAACTTTGTCTTTTCTTTGCTATTGAGTCTAAAAGATGTTTTATAATATTAAAAAGGGACCGATGAATAACTCTTTTCTGAGAGCCCAATTTGTGTTTTTATAAAAAGATGTTTTTTACAATAAATCAAAACAAATATCACTACTCGGTTTTGCTGAGTTGTAGGATATGTGGAGCACTCATTTGTATAAGGGTTTGGATTCCATCTCTAAATCTAGGAAGGGATCAAATGGGTAAAGCATTATAGACATTGACTCGGGTATATCTTCCATTCACGATTTCTTAAGCTACAAAAAAAAAAAAAATCATTGACTAAACACATATACAAAAACGTAAAAATAAAAAATAAAATCGGCATATACAATTTCACTACCTAGTGGACATATCTTCCAAATCGAAACAATAGATGAGAGGTAGTGGTGCTATTGTGTCCATCTTTTTGCTCTAAAATACCTATAACTTAAAAAATCAAAATCAACAATACAAATCATAAGAATAAAAATCGAAGCAGATTTAGAACACGTAACCATTATCGATTTAAACTTAAATCGAAAGGTTTTATAGATTGGAACTTCATAGTTGAAACATAATAAAATAAACATAATCTAAAACTTAACAAAAATCAATCTAAACTACGATCAAATTAACGTAGAATCCAAATAAAATTTATCTCTATATCATTCCTATCTTCCATGATGATCGAACATAAGACTGATCCATACAGATCGAAGCCCACAAGTATTCTATTTATTCTTTCCCATATTTTTTTCTCCGGTACAAAACTTAGGTTAGATAGATTATGTAAAGAAATGAGGAAAGGGTGTAAAGGTACTGGTACTGAGGGGTGTGGTGGGTTATTTTTTTCATTTTATTTTTGGTGAGATTTAATTGTCATTAATAGAATTCCTAATTTAATTCATTTTATTTTTGGTGAGATTTAATTGTCATTAATAGAATTCCTAATTTAATTCATTTTATTTTTGGTGAGATTTAATTGCCATTAATAGAATTCCTAATTTATTTAATTTACTTTTGATGAGATTTAATTGTCATTAATAAAATTTCTAATTTAAAACTTAATATAAGTTTTATAAATTTGGTGGACAAAAATAAAATGATTGAGATGATGTCAACAAATAATCCAAGGGTGGAAAATATAGGATTGAAAGACAATCAATGACTCTGATTTCTTCAATTTAGAGTTAAATGTTCTCTTTTAATAATATTTAGAGAT